GGGACACAATAACTAACTACATTGTATATTGACAAAATAAAAAATAAATTAATTAATTAATTAAAAAAAAAAAAAAAAAACTATGACAGAACCTACTAAAGCCATCCATTGACTCCAGTTTAAGAACTTCTGGGCTATCTGTTGATGACTCCATGTTTAGATGCTGGATGCTGTGTGAGGAATCATTTTTTTAAAAAATCAAGGTTAGATGCAGGTAGACCAGTTAAGAAAGTGTTGGAGATACTTAGGTGAAAAATAATAGTGCCCTAAACCAAGGGTGGTAACAGTGAATATGGAGAATAGTGAGGAGGTGTGAGAGATGTTTAGGAGGTGGGATCAATAGGCCTTAGTGTTTGGTGGAATACGGGTCAGGAGGGAAGAATCAAGGATGATACCCAAGTTCCTGCCTTCAGCAGCAAGGCGAGTAGTGATAATGGGGAGTGTGTATTGCTGGTACTGGGGGAAGATGAGGGGCTAAGTTTAGGCATGTTGAGTATGAGGAACTTGTGGGAAATGTCCAGTGGGCTGAGTCTGGGACTCATGAGAACTTGTCATCCAGACAAATGTACAGACATATAGCACTTCACAGAACCTCCTAAAGCCACCCATGGACCCTAGATTAAAAACGTCTGACCTGTCCGGACAGTCAATATCTTTCATAATTGCAGAGAGACATGTGACATAAAACGATTAAAACTATGTGTTATGATGATCAGTAAAGCCACAGAAGAAGATGTAATTGTCTAAGAAGAGTATGTAGAAGAGGAAAAGAGGGTCTGGGATAGTGCCCTGAGGAACACCAGCAGAGCAGAAATGTATGTAAGACCTGAACAAAATAAAGATCAACTCTTTGATTGTACAAGTAAGGAACATGATCGACTGACCAAGTTTTTACACAGTGGTAAAGGCAGAGTGCAGACTAAAATCGCAGTGTTAGAAAAACCACTGTTAAGGCCGGCCCGTGGCTCACTCGGTAGAGTGCGGTGCTGATAACACCAAGGCCATGGGTTCGGATCTTATATAGGGATGGCCTGTTAGCTCACTGGCTGAGCGTGGTGCTGACAACACCAAGCCAAGGGCTGAGATCCCCTTACCGGTCATCTTCTTTTAAAAAAAAAAAAGAAAGAAAGAAAAACCACTGTTACTTCAGCCATGCCACACTGCTGCCTGGAAATGAAATACATCCCTCCAACACTGGTGATTTAAGAGTTGTACAGCTTCAGGTTTACAATCCCTGCTTCTAGGGATATAAATATAAATCATGGATTGAGAGAGTTACTGGATATTTTCTTGTTTTCCTTTTCTTCTTACTTCATCTTTGGTATGGATTATTTCCTTGACTAGCGCCTGATTGAGGAAGAGAACATGCTGGCACCATCTCTAAAGCAGTTTTCCCTCCGGGTGGAAATTTTGCCATCCTACATTCCAGTGAGGGTTGCTGAAAAAATCCTGTTTGTTGGAGAATCTGTCCAGATGTTTGAGAATCAAAATGTGAACCTGACTAGAAAAGGTAAGAATCTGCTTGCCCAATGTACCACATCCTCAGCGGCTCTTCTTCCTTAATATTATGTGGCCCCCAAGTATACCTGGTCAGACTGAATGGCTGGTAATATTCATGTACTAAGATTGCAGCACAATCATGACATATTTGCCTGAGAAGCTTGTGAAGCTGCTGCATGACAGAGATTAGCCCTCTCAAGGAAACCTTGGCTGTCCGAGGTGTTCTCTGCCTTCTTTTGACAGTGCCTTCCTGTTTTGCAGGATCCATTTTGAAAAACCAGGAGGACATATTTGCTGCAGAGCTGCATCGTCTCAAGCAGCAGCCGCTCTTCAGCCTGGTGGATTTTGAGCAGGTGGTGGATCGTATTCGTAGTACTGTGGCCGAGGTTTGTTTCATCTTATATATATATATATATATATATATATTTTTTTTTTGTCTTTTGTCTTTTTCCGTGTCTGGCAACGGATCGCAACCCCCAGTGTTGCCCCCGTACCGGACTGGGGACCAGCAACGGGACTGCAACCCTCGGTGTTGCTCCCGCGCCTCGCTCAGCCAGTGAGCGGGAACCGGTCTGTATGTGGGATCCGAACCCTCGGGCGGGAGCGCCGCCGCACTTCCCAAGTGGCGCACTTATCCAGTGCGCCACCAGGCCGGCCCCTCATCTTATATTTTTTAAGGAAGAAAATGGATTCATTTCCAGAAATGGAGTACTTGACTTTTGTTTCTTCTTGATGTGGTTTGAGCTGAGCTTGGAGAGAATTGTTTGAGAGAGTTGAAGGGCAAGAAGTAGAAAATAAAAGCAGTGTCTCTATTTTTAATAACAGAGGAAGAACTGTCTTAGTCTTTTCACATCTGACAGGTGTGAGTGATTGAGTGAGTGAGTTGAATAAAGGGAAGGTTTGGTTTTATTTCTGACAGCCAGCATTTTGGGTCTGTCTATATAGTTGTCAGTAACTCCAAGGAACCAAATGATTGTGAAAAATTGAGTGCTTTACTTATGTTTTAGAGTGGCTTTATAACTTATACTCTCATTTATTTACACAATAATTTTATAAGGAAAGCAGAATGAATGTTATTTTCCCATTCTTGCAAATGAAAAAACTAGTTGGAAAGCTAACTTGTGTGGTGTTGCAGTACATATCAAAGGTGAGATCAAGACCAGGTCTGCTAACTCTTAGAGTTCAGTGTTCTTAAATTTGAATTGTACTTCAGCTGTCAACTCAAATTGTGACCAATAATCTTTCAAATGGGCCTATGTTTTGTGGCATATAATAACATTTGGCTCATAGATATGTTATAATGTGAAATGAGACCTTTAGTTAATCAACTGTTGTTAACTGTGTTAGTGGTTTTCAGCTTTGGCCATGCATAGAATTATTTGGAGAAATTTTAAAACGTGCACTTGCACCAAGTCTTTTCTAACTTGTAGGTCAGGAGGGGATGGGTACATGTATTTAAACAAACCAACCTGCCAACTAGCAGACAAACCTCTGCAGGTGATTTTGAAACGCAGACAGCTAAAAAGCAGTGTACTAGGGTCAGTGTCTGGAACTGCTAAGAAGCACAGAAGTTTATCACAAATATGGTTTCCTTTTCTGGTCTCTAAAACTCCTGGGCATCAGAGACAAAGCTGTGATGTAGACACAGAATATTAGATCTTAAAATGACCAGGAAGTATCATTTAATTCTTTATAGGCAATTAAATATCAAAACCATCTAGAATCCATGTTTCTGTCCTTTCAAAATTTCAACACACTGCCTCGCCTGTCTATAGCCCAGTGCTGGCTCTTGTCTAAAGGGGGCGGGTATCTTCAGTTGCATTTTATTTTATTTTTTTCCAAAAAAATTCTCTTTCTCTAACTGTATACATATACTGGCCTTAAAATAAAATTACATGTTAGAAGGAAGGGTCCATTTGTAAGGTGTAAAAGTGAAATTTTTTTTTTTTTTTGTCTTTTTCCGTGTCCGGCAACGGACCGCAACCCTCAGTGTTGCCCCCGTACCGGACCGGGCACCGGCAACGGGGTTGCAACCCTCGGCGTTGCTCCCGCGCCTTGCTCAGCCAGTGAGCGGGAACCGGTCTGTATGTGGGATCCGAACCCTCGGGCGGGAGCACCGCTGCGCTTCCCAAGCGGCGCACCATCCAGTGCGCCACCGGGCCGGCCCGAAAGTGAAATTTTTTTAATGGGAAAGTGTCATCATCAGTGCTTTAAAAAAAGTGAGAGATAAAATCAGGGCTCTTTCTAGAGAAGTCTTCTAATTCTTTTTTCTGAGAAAACCAACTGGAATACAGGATGGCTCTGTCCCATAGCAATCTAAAACATGACCTCCCTAAATGTACATACAGAAAATGTCTTAACCAATTTGGAAGAAAAGCAAAATTCTAAGTGTAGAAATGTATTTTCTCAAATTATTCTTTTTTTCAAACTGGGCTCAGTCTCAGGCTGCTGCTTACATCAGTGACCCCTGGACCAGGCTGGAAGGCTTGTATTCCACTGGAAGAGCTAGAGGCACCTGCTGCCACAGTAGAGAATTAACAAATAAGGGCCCATAATGGCCCCTCAGGAATTGAAGAATTCTTTAAAGTTTGAATGTCTGGGGAACACAGACCAAAACTGTGCCCTGATTTTCCATTTCTGAAAGTCACACTTTAAGTAAAAATTTTTTGTTTTGCAAATTTCTTTTTTTTTTAATTTTTTATTTTTATTTCTCAATATACATTGTAGTTGATTTTTGTGATTGTTTTGCAAATTTCTATATGACAAAAGATACTGTAGAATTTCAATCATGTGATGTTCTCGGAAAGAAGAAAAAAAGCCAGTTCTTCATAGGAGTCTTTTCTTTTTGGTATCTTATATGTCAATTATCACAAAACCTCTGGCTTCTCTTCATTATAGACCTACATTGCTGAATATGTTATTACTTTGACTTCCATTTGGAGTGTGCTTGGACAATAAAAATTCTTCTCCCCACCCAGTTGACCATAACTTGAAATTTCTTTGATCATTTATTAAGTATTTTCATTTCCCAGGGTATGAAGAATTAATCAGCATTAATATAATATAGCCACTCATCCAAAAAGTGAAACAGAAGGAATTGTAAGTCAGCCCCTTAGGTTTCTACTTCTATTGTTTGGAGGGGCTCCACAGACCCAGTATCTGCCATGTAACCACACATGGCCATTGCTCAAATGATCCTCCAGAGTACCTCCCCATGAGTGTAACTAGACATCTGCTGTGTGATCCAAATACTTGTACTTCCAATCGGCTGGAGGATAATTGGCCTTAATGGCCTTCTCCTTAGTCACATTGTGATCTCTAATCTCTTCCTCTTCTGGTGCCATGATTGCCTCCTTTCATCTTTTTTTATTGAATCTGTTTCTGTTCTTTTATCATTTTTGTTATAACTCTTTGGAAAATATAATTAATAGAGGGAAGTAAAATTGTATTGAATGAATTATGTAAGATTTCAAAAAAGTTTTTGGTGAAATTTTGAAGTGAATATACTACTAGAGATTATATTTCCAGTTTGTAAAAATGATAGACAAAGAATTGAAGCTCAGACTCTGAAGTTTCCTAGAATTGTAGGTAAAAAACTTTGTGTTGTTGTTGTTAAATTTGGCAGGTGGCTGGTACAGGGATCTGAACCCTTGACCTTGGTGTTACAACACCATGCTCTAACCAGCTGAGCTAAAAGGTATTATTTTAACAATGACAACAACTTACAGTGATGAAAGAACTAGTGTGCCCAGAAGAAAAAAGGGGGAGTGTCTTGCAAATATGTATGATATTCACCCCCTTTGGGATCTCTCTTTCCCTTCTTTTTAATTTTTTAAAAAAGTGTACATACTGTCTGAATCTATTCTTATAAATGAGTCTATTCTTATAAATCGATAAAGTTCAAAAACAGGCAAAACTAATCTGGTGCTAGATGTCAGGATACTATTTGCTCTTGAGTCAAATGGAAGGGTTATGAGTGGGGCTTCTAGGGTAGTGGTAATGTTCCATTTTTTCCATTTCTTGATCTGGGTGCTGGCTATACAGGCATGTTCAATTTGAGAGAATTCTTCAAGCTGTAAACTTACGATTTGTACCTTTCTTAAAATGTATTTTAGTATTTCAACAAAAAAAGTTTTTAAAATTCTTAGATCCTTAATAGTTTTTATTTTAATTATATCTTTAGTTGATTATTGCTTATAGAGAGAAACAGTGGTATTAATTTTTGTCGGTTAATCTTGTATCCCGCAACGTGTTGGACTCTTTTAGTTCTAATAGTTTGATTCTGTTGGTTTTTCTAGATAGATGATCATAACATCTGCAAATAATGAGAGTTTTACAACTTTCCTCCCAATTTTTATTCTTTTTGTTTGTTTTTCCTTCCAGTTTTTAAACTTTTTTCTTACATTGTTGGCTAGGATCCTTAAAACTGCATTAAACAGCTGGAGTGATAACTTTATATAAACTGTTAAACGGTAGAAGTAATATTGGGCATCCTTGGCTTGTTGGCTCTAAAGATAATGCATATAAGTTTTCTGCATTACTATGACGTTAACTGTAGGTTTCTACAGGCACTACATTTATCAAGTTAAAGAAATACTCTTATTCCTAGTTTGCTAAAGGTTTTTTTTGTTTGGTTTGGTGTTGGGCATAACTTTGCGCGCATGCGCCCTGACGCGCACGGGCGACATTTCATGCGCCCCGCGGCCACCATTTCACTAGCGCTCAACGGCACGTAGCTGCCAGCCTCGCCCTTCCGGGTCCCAGTGATTCAGCAACTTTAGTTCCGTATTCGCGTAAAGCCTCCCCACCACCTCACCCTATCCTTTTAAGCCCTTCTTATTGGCTCATTGCTTGATCTCTCATATCAAAACCTGCCCTGCCCTTTTTCCCTATATAAGCTGTGCCGCCCTGCAAATAAACGGAGTTCCGGCTTTGACCACTCTCCTGGCTCGGTGGTGTTCTTTCTCGGCCCCCGGGGAGGAAGGTCCTGGGGGGGAAGGGCCGTGCCAGCGACACTCATCATCCCGCTCAGCCCCGCAAGGGACCCCCGGCTGGACCGGGGTCTCTTCCCGCTCGGTTTTGTCGGCCTCTGGCTCAGGGAGGCCCGACAGTTTGGTTTGGTTTTTTTGGCAGCTGGCCGGTACAGGGATGCTAAGAGTTTTTATCATAAACAGATGATGAATTTTATCTGTCTGTATCAATTAAGGTGCAGTCTCTTGCTCTGGGTTTCTTTTCTCTAGTCTATTTATATAGTAAATTCCTAGTTGGATTTTCAGATGCTGAATATTCCTGGGATAAAACCTACTTTGATTGTGATATTTTATTTTTTAATATACTGTTGGATTTATTGAATATTTGTATGTACATTCACTAGTGAAATAAGAATATACTCTTCCATTCCCGTATTGTTCTTATGTGGTTTTGGAATAAAGATTATACAAGCCTCAAAAAATGGGCTAGGTAGCTTTTGTTTTTGTTTTTTAGAACAATTTATATTAGGACAGGAACTGTTACTGAAAGTTTAATTGAACTTACCTGAAAAATGATCTAGGCTAGGCTTTATTAGGAGGGAAAACTTCACCAGTTCAGTGTATTTAAAACCTATTGACATAAGACATTTACTTCTTCTTGTATCGATTTTAGTATTTTCTAGTTTTCTAGCAACTTACCCATTTCATCTAAATTTAATATTTTAAAAATCTCTGCTTATCTGTAGTTATTTATGTTTTATTTAATATTTTGTTTATATTTTAAATTTCTTTTTTATTGTTTAGTCTTATTAATCTTTTCAAAAAACCTAGCTTTTGTTTTTATTCTTTATTTTTTAATTCTTTATTTCACTGATGTCTACCTTTCTGTTTATTATTTTCTTCCTTCTTATTTCTTCCTTCTTGTTGAGTTACTCTTTTTCCAAGTTAAAAGCTTGGCTCCATTTTTTTAACCTTTGTTCTAAGAAATATACATAAAACTTTACTTATTGCTTTGACTGTGTCCCACAAGTTTTTGGCATGTAGTGTTTTCACTATCTTTCTCTTCTAAATAATTCTTAATTTTCTTTATGATTTTCATTTTTAGCCAAGGAATTTATTATTTTAATTTTATTGCAATATAGTTAGAGAACATAGTCTGTATGATATTGGCTCTTTGAAATTTATTGCGGCTTCCATTATGGACTAATACAGGGTCTATTTTTGTTTTTAACCGCTCTGCATGTACCCAGAGACTGTATATTCTTTGTTGAGTGTAGAGTTCTATGTATGTTCTAATTGCTTATTTTGAGGTTACGTATTAGGCATGTAAATATTTATCATGAATATACATTTATTTATTCTGTTTTTCCCTTTATGTACACATAATGTCTTCTGTATCACCTATATGATATATATATTTTTTGACTTAAATTCTCTTTTATTAATTATTAAGATCACTATCCAGCTTTCTTTCATATCGTATTTATCTGATATCTTCTTCCATCCTTTATTTTCAACCTTTCTATGTGCTTTTATCCCACTCTTCCTATCCTCCCAGTCCTTTAGCAACTACTGATCTGCTCTCTGTCTCTATAGGTTAATTTGCATTTTCTAGAGTTTATAAAAGTAGGATCATACAGTATGTACTCTTTGGACAGAGGGGATCAGGCTTCTTTTACTCAGCATAATTATTTGGAGATGAATCCATGTTGCATTTATCAATAGTTTGTTCCCTTTTACTACTTAGTAGTATTCCATTGTATATACCAGTATGTTTATCCATTCATCTGTTGAAAGACATTTGGATTGTTCTCTCGTTGTTTTAATTTGCATTCCCGTAATGACTAATGATGTTGAACATTTCTTCATGTGCCTCCTTGCCCATCTTGTATTGGGTTTTTTGTTTTCTTAACTATTGAATTTTGAGTGTTCTTTATATATTCTAGATATAAATCCTTTATCAGATATGTGACTTACAAATATTTTCTTACAATCTATAACTTGTCTTTTCATTCTCTTAGTGGTGTCTTTCAAAGAACAGACGTTGTCAATTTTGATGAAGTCCAGTTTTATCATTTTTCTTTCTTTTATGGTCCATGTTTATATCTAAGAAATCTTTGCCTAAGCCTAGGTCACAAAGATTTTCTCCTCTGTTTGCTTCCAGAAATTTAATAGCTTTATGTTTTACGTTTAGGTCTGGATATCCAATTGTTCAAGCAACTTGGTTCTTTTTTTTTTTTTTGGCCGCTGGCCGTTATGGGAATCGAACCTGTGACCTTGGTGTTATAAGTCTACACTCTAACCAACTGAGCTAACTGGCCAGCCCTGCCTGGTTCTTTTCTGTGTTTTCTTTTTGTATATTTCTATCCTTTTTTTTTTCTTTTTATGTATATTTTTCTTTTTGTATGTTGATATTGCTGTTATCCTTACCTCTTTAAGCATATTTATCAAGAGTATTTTAAAAATACTTGGTCTGTGTCATAGGTCAGGTTTCCCAGGAAACAGATTCTGAGACTAAGATTTAGTTGTAAGAAGTGAGGGAAGCAGAATTGAGCAGAGGGAGAAGGTACATTGTGATGCAGGCGCAGCGAAGGCCTTGCCAATCCTATGGAGAAGTGAGGATGGCCCTTCAGAGATGTTCCAAACCAGGGGTAGGGGACTAAGCACTGTGTCCTTGCATTTACCAGCTATGGATGTGGGCTGCCTTCAGAGAAGGAGTAAAATCTTGGCTAAGGAAGCTCCCTTTAGCCAAAGGCAATTCCTGAAGTACCAACAACAGGCAAACTCCCAGCAGCTGGGGTTACAGGGGAGATCTGGACAGCACACTGTTATGTCCACTCAGTCTGTTTTAAACCTTCTGCTTCAGATGGTATATGTTGTCCGGTCTGCTGTATCTTTTACACTTCACGTCTAATTATTTTGGGCTGTGAGCTTATATTCCCCTGGGGATGTCAGTTACTTTGTCTAGTATGTGTGTTGGAGAAGGGTCAAAGGCCTAATCCTAATCTGTGTCAGTTCCAGTGAGTTATAGAGAGAGAGGAAGGGATGAGCTCCATGGTGGAGAATCTCGGCACCCTGATTCACTGTTGGTCACTTCACTGGGCAAATCCTATCATCAGGATTTTACCTTTGATGCTGGTTATGTAGTTGATTTTTGTATATTAATCATCAACCTTGCTGAATTCTCTTACTAATTCTAATTATTTGTCGGTTCTCTTGGACTTTCTATGCAGATAGTGATATCATCTGTTAATAATAACAGTTTTGTTTCTTCCTCTCCAGTTATATATATGTGTATATATGTATATATATGTGTATATGTATATACATATACATACACACACATATATAATTATCTTACTGTACTGGTAAAGTCTTTAGTTCGATACTGAATAACTTTAAAGGTATTTCTTCTAATGTTTCACCATTAAATAAGTTGTTTCCTGGGGTTTTATATACCCTTTATCAGAATAAAGAAGTTTCCTTCTATTCCTTTCTTTTTTTAAATCATGAACAAATATAGAATTTTTTTTTTTTTAAAGTTGACTGGTAAGGAGATCTTAACCCTTGACTTGGTGTTGTCAGCACCACGCTCACCCAGTGAGCTAACCGGCCATCCCTATAATGGGAACCGAACCCGGGGCCTTGGTGTTACCAGCACCATGCTGTCCCGAGTGAGCCACGGGCCGGCCCACAAATATAGAATTTTATCAAACGCTTTTTCTGCATCTATTGAGATGATAATATGGTTTTCCTCCTTTAAGCTTTAATGTAGTAAATTACATTCATTCTTCTAAATTTATTTTTTTATTGAGATAATATTCATATAACATAAAACTCAACATTTTAGCCATTTTAAAATAGTGTACAACTCAGTAGTTTATAAGTATATTCAAATATATTCACAATGTTGTGGAACTGTTAGCACTGTCCAGTATCAGAACATTTCCATCTCATGGTTTTGTTTTTTTTTAAACTATCCTTTCATTCCTGGGATAAACTCAGTTTGGTCATGTTGTATATTCTTTTTTTCAATACATTCCTGGATTTGTACAGAACCATTCTTTGCAGGAGTTTTCACTGGGATGAAATTTTGTCCTTGTTTGTTCTTTTCATAGCATCTCTGGAAGCTGATGGTAGAAGAGTCCGATTTACTAGGTCAGCTGAAGGTAAGAGCTTAGCTATTCTCTTAATTCTTAAAATGCTGCTGGTGGGCAATGACTTACAACATATTCTAACCTTTACTGAGAGCACTGGTTGCCTATACCCAGACTTCCAGAGTGGACTGAATTCTTATCCAAGTGAGCAAACTGTACTTAATCATACAAATCTACCATAATACAAAGATTTGGGAGTTTACTTTCTTCCGGCATAATATAATTATATTGCCATTGAACAAGTGATACCAAACACACACCAGTCATCCTGCTATGAGTAACTGCTAAGTATGCCTCTTTGAAATATACCTAACACCTATATCCTTTTGTAGGTTGGGCTCAAACTATCAAAGACTGGAAATTATTTCTATAGTTCCCTCGGGATAGTGAGGAGCTCCTGGCCTTGCTTTACTGAATTGTAAATTGAAATTCTTTCCTCAGATCATTAAAGACTTTTACCTTCTGGGACGTGGAGAACTGTTTCAGGCCTTCATTGACACAGCTCAACACATGTTGAAAACACCACCCACTGCAGTAACCGAGCATGGTAATTAATTGCCCATGGCCCTGAAAATGACCAGCTTACTTAAGTTGCAGGGTATTTCTTAAGCTGCTGCTGACGAGCTTAGTTAAGTTGCAGAGTATTTTTTAAGCTGCAGCTGACCATTTTAGGCCTGCTCCACATAAGAGCAGCCTGGTGAGTTACAAAACAGTGTTCCCAAAGGCGGAAGGCCCTTTCTGGTAGGCTTCATGCTGAAGTCATTAGCAACAAACAGCATCTTGGCTGATGACCCTTCCTGGAAGAGTTGGTGTAGGTCTTCAAACCAAGTATTTAACCTCACCAGATTATAGCCATATATACCTTATAGGGCATATTAGAACATACTGTCACTTGTGGTGTTATAATAGAACTCTTTAGGTTGTAAATGATAGAAACCTAACCTGAGCTAGTTAGAAAAGGGGAAATTATTTGCTATTGTATATAAAACTCCAGTGATATAGGGGTATAGCTGGGCCTCAGAACAACTGAAACTAGCGAATTGAGTACTATTAGGATTCTCTCTCTTTTACCATATCTTGTCTCTGTTTCCAGTATACTCTTTGATGACCTTCCAGTCCCATCTGGAAACATGGCCACTAACAGTTCACAGGGAAGTGCCTCCCAAGTGTTCTCTACTGAAGAAACCAAACCCGGTCTCTCTAGTAGCAAGTTAGAGAATTCCAGGGAAGGAGTTCTGACTGGCCCAGCCCAGATCAATCAGAGAGGTCAGACACTAGGATGTGCCTAGTTCGGTAAAGTGTCCTGAACAGAGTTGGGTAAGGATCAGAGCCAAAAAAGAAAATGGGAGGAAAAAAAAAAATACCTACAGGGTGATCATTTTTCTAGCTCAACAAAACAACAAATGTTCTCTGTAGTTTTTCTAGCTCAATGAAACAATAGATGTCCACTGTACTTACACAGTACTTTTTGGTTGCAGATATCAGAAAACCCATTTCAAATTCACTTAAGCAAAGAAAAAAAGAAAGGAAAGAATTTGTTGATTCTCATAACTGGAAAGCTCAGAGGTATGATGGCTTTAGGCAAAGTTTGATCCAATGGCTCACATGATACCTTTCAGACTTGGTCTCTTTCCATCTTTCACCTCTGCCTTTCTTCTTAGACAGGCCTGCTCTGTAAGGTAGCAAGATAGCCTTTAGCCAAGTTTACATCCTATTAAGTCCCTGTTTATCTTGAAAAAAGAGCTGCACTCTTTTAGAGTCTCAGTAGAGCCTCTGAACTGGCTTGGCTTGGGTCATGTTCATATCTCTAAACAAAGTAGAGTATTACATTCCATTTGATCATGCATGGGTCACCTGCTTACCCTTAGAATCAGGTATTGTGAACCACAGTGGAACTACATGAACTGATACCGGGTAGGGATGATTCTCCAAGGAAAATCAGGGTGCTGTTACTGGCAAGAAGACAAGGAAGAATGAATGCTAGTCAGGCAAAAGCAACAGATGTCCACTGTGTCCTACTATTTATGTTAGGCAGGCTGTGGGAGAAGCAGGAAGCTGGAGCAGTTTGGACTTAGTGATGTAGCCAAGCATTCATGTCAGCCCATGTGTTCTTTTTTGCAGATGTGAATGTGGCCTTTCAGCAGTCAGCACACAAGGTATTGCTAGATGATGACAACCTTCTTCCTCTGTTGCACTTGACAATTGAGTATCATGGAAAGGAGCATAAAGGTTTGCCATTCTTTCCTGCCACCTTTCTGTTCCTACTGGTTGTCATCCATTTTCTCATCTCTACTCCCATCCACCTCCACAAAAACCGTATAATTTTATGTGTGTGTGTGTCTATATATATATATATATAATTTTTTTTTTTTTTTTTTGCAACCATCTGGTGTGGGAACCGAACCCTTGACCTTAGTGTTATAAGGCTGTGTTCTAACCACATGGGCTACCTGGCCAGCACCAAGAAACCACATGATTTTGGACTTTCAAAGTCATCTAGTACAGTACTGTAATTTTATACTGGAAAAGGGAAGTCCAGAAGTCCAGGGTAGTTAAGTAAGATGCCCAGGCCATATTTATTTGTGGGATTTGGGGGCGGGGGGGTCATACTGCTGGAATGGTCCCTGTTTGTTTATTTCCAGCCTTCAGACTTTAAGGCTGAAAAAAGAATCTCTAAAAGACCTCCCAAGAGAACCCCACATAAAAGTTTCCCTTGCCCTCTGCCTTTGTGTCCTCTTTATGTTTCTGACACTACAGATTCAGTGACCTTTCATTTCATGAATGTTATTCACCTTGTTGAGTGTCTAGTTCTAGATTAACCAAGTTGTCATCTTTTCTCTTCTTTCTTTTCTTTTCTTGATCATAGCAGATGCTACTCAGACAAGAGAAGGGCCTTCTCGGGAAACTTCTCCCCGGGAAGCCCCTGCATCTGGCTGGGCAGCCCTAGGTCTTTCCTACAAAGTACAGTGGCCACTACACATTCTCTTCACCCCAGCTGTCCTGGAAAAGTAAGTATTTCTGAGTTTCTCAAAGGTAAATATTACCCATCTTACTTCCAAGGGAAGAAATTAGCAGGAATAGAATTGATGGAAGCAAGATAGCTACCCAGCCCAACTAGTTTTTAACAATCTGTGAATCAGGTGGAAAACTCACATGGCTTCAGGGGCTAGACAGATCATGTTAATAAGTAAAGCTGCACATGTGAGGCAGTAGGGAGTGATGGGCACTGGAATGAATGGGAGGCTATATACCCACTAAAGACCATCACAACTTAAAAAAAAAAAAATCCGCTAAATAACAAGCAGTTTGTAGGCTGCCAGTTTGTGACCTCTGGAAAATGAGGTCTTAGGTACCACTTTTAAAGTCTGGCCCTTGATGATTCCATCTATACCTGACAAGTTTCCTCCCTAACTTTTATAGTTTTTTTTGTTGATTTTCTTGAGAAAGTCCTCCAGCCCAGACGTTTACTGTGGACTTTAGCCATGGGAGAGAAGTTTACCTCCTTACTCCCAGGGAGAGGCAACAGGGACAGCCAAGCTGGGGGAATGGAATAAAGGAATTGGGCCAAGATGGCGTGAGACTTTCTATCAGATCAGCCTTGATCTTTATCACAAGAGCCTGCCAAGTGCTATTGCTTGGCCTGGTCAGGATCTAATGTCTCCACAGTGGAGCGGAACCAGAGCTGTAGGGAAAGGAAGTGGGAGAAGCATCTTGGCTTAGTAGTGCCTCTGACATCCATCCCAACACCATTTCTAGGAACTTCCCAAATCCCGTTATGGGTTAGAGAACTGACCCTTGGCCTGGATGGAGGATGGAAGCTGTCATGCTCAGTGAGAGAAGAGGAATGGAGAAAAGGGAAACAAATGAACCAAGGGTCATCTCTTCTTCCTACCGTCTCACTTCATCCTCTCTGTTCCTTTTCATACTTTATTGGAGTAGAAAAGCTTAAGGTGTGATAGACTGAGGAGGTTCAGGGAGAAGATTCTATGGCAGGTTCAGAGCCCATGGCCCAGCTAAGCAAGCTGCAAAGTTCCCTTGTCCAAAGAGCCTCCGAAGCTCCACTGCTCCAGCATCCCACAGGCCAGTAGTCCACTTATCTCCAAGCCTGATATGCTTTTAACACCGTTGAAATCAAGTTTAGAAGATTTTTTTTAACTTTATGAAAATTTCTAAATATAAACAAAAGTATAGGCTATAACAAACTCCCATGCCTTCACTATCCAGCTTCAGTAACCATCAACATAATGCCACGTGTTTCATCTATCCCTCCTCCTTGTTTTTTTTGCTGCAGCTTTATAAAGGAAATCCCAGACATGTTTCACTCTGTCACTGTGCAATTCAAAAAGACATATTTTCAACATAACTACAATGCCATTGTCACACCCAATAAAACTAATAGTAATCCCTTGTAATCTAACATCCAGTCCACATTGAAATTTCCCCAGTAATCTAAAAAATGTCTTTTTATGGTTGGGTTTGTTCAAATAGTGCCAAACAAGGTCTACTATTTCAGTATGTTTGTCACATTAGAATGGAATTGGATTGTCTTCTGCAGGCCTGCCTACGAACAAGTAAATATATCCAGTTCTACCAGGAATCAGTTGCTCTTCCCATGTGTCTTCTCAGTATGGGGTCTAAGAATTAAACAATTAGCCCCTTTGCTTGCTGGGAGGCAGGAGTCTGATCTCACTGAGGGAATATATTTTATCTTTGAATCAGATTCATCATAACCCTTGGTTCATAACACACTTATTACTAGTCCATACAAGACCTTCCTTCATTCCTTAACACACACATACACACAAACACACACACACATATTATAAAACCACTTCCCAGCATAAAAACTAGAACACTGACAGTAATGTCCGTCTACCTATATGGTCCTTCCCAGTCCTGCCTCCTTGCCTCCCCCAACCCAAGGTGACCACTATCATAAATTCTATGTTTTCTTTCCTTTTTCTATAGTTTTATAACATCTATTATTTATATTCCCCAGAAGTTGTTGGGGTGTTTTTGCTTTCAGTTGTTTTAAGAATTACATAGAAAGCTATATATGTAATCTTTTGCGTAAATTCTATGTTTTCTTTCCTTTTTCTATAGTTTTATAACATCTATTATTTATATTCCCCAAAAGTTGTTGGGGTGTTTTTGCTTTCAGTTGTTTTAAGAATTACATAGAAAGCTATATATGTAATCTTTTGCAATTTACCTTTTTCATTCAGAGTCGTATTGCTAATAGTCATTTTGTTGTGCTGTATAGCTGAAGTTCATTCATTTTGAGTGCTATATAATATTTCACTGTATAAACAACCTACAATTTATTTGTCCACATCTTTAGCTATTCTTCTTTACTTCTTGCCTTTTCTCACAGGACCCTTTGGGGAGGGGTGGGTGGCACAAAGTCCTAAGGGATGTCATGAGAGGGGTGTTGGGGTGAAGTTTTTATCTTGAATAACCTGATGTTTCTGTCCTAGGTACAATGTGGTTTTCAAGTACTTACTGAGTGTGCGCCGGGTACAAGCTGAACTGCAGCACTGCTGGGCCCTACAGATGCAGCGCAAGCACCTCAAATCCAACCAGACTGACGCAGTCAAGTGGCGCCTAAGAAATCACATGGCATTCCTGGTGGATAATCTTCAGTACTATCTCCAGGTCTGTGTTGAGGGATGAGTAGAAGGAAGAGGTATGAAAAGAAGTCTAGGATATTGGCTCCTAGGAGGTATTGAAAATGGACTACAGATCTGTATCTAGTAAAATGCTGGGGTTTGAGAAAATTACAGGGTTATATCACTAGGTATGTTTCTTGAGGGCATTTTAGAGCAAAGTGGAAATAAACGGATGAAGTAGAATAAGGAGTTAGGATCTTTATCAGCAATGCATTATTTACTGTTGACTTGCTCTTTATTTTTCTTGTTTGCTGTAACTGCTGGAGTTCTATAGGACTTAACCGATGGCCCTGTGGCATGAGCAGATTAGGTTGAGGCAGGAGAGAGTGGTCTGCCAAGGCATTGGAAGTGGTTAAGAATTACACAAATAATTTCCTAGGAGGCTGGGCAATATAGAGTTGTCTTTGGTCAGCCTTAAAGTTGCTTGGTTAGAAGATGAGTCGGGGCAAGGAATTTCTATTTCATCCTGACAGGCATCTTAATGTATGAGTGCTTAGAATATGCAAGGTGCTAAAATTATTTGTGTAACTGTCTATCAGGTAGATGTGCTGGAGTCTCAGTTCTCACAGCTGCTTCAACAAATCAATTCTACGCGAGACTTTGAAAGCATCCGATTGGCTCACGACCACTTCCTGAGCAATTTGCTGGCTCAGTCCTTTATCTTGTTGAAACCTGTAAGTAGGGCTGGTTAGTTTCCTCTGACTGCTTCTAGCACTGACTGTTCCCTTAGGCACTTTGAGTTGAGAGGATATGAAACTATCATTAAGCCTCTGTTCAGCTACATTTTTAAACATTTTTAACATTTATAAACCAGATTAAAAGGGAATGTTAAAAGGGAACTGAAATATCTTTGAATTTCTGAAATATTATATCATAGGGTATGGTGAACAGCTATAGATGAAAGAATCATATGCTTAATCCTCAGAAGGAAGGATCTGAAGAAATTCAAAAAGCTGGGGGTTTTTTGTTATTGTTATGGGGATCCAAACCTTTGACCTTGGTGTTATCAACACCACACTCTAATCGAGTGAGCTAACCGATCAGCCTCAAAAAGCTTTCTGACACTACAGAAAAACCAATGAAAAGTACATAGAGTTCACTTTCTTAGAAATCTTTTTGACCAAGTTTGACCAGTCATTTGAAAGTTGTTTTTACAACTAGAGTATTTTCACTCTCTCTGTATATATGTATGTATATCTGCAATATATATATATATATATATGTATATAACCTTCATGGCAGTTGTTCTCAATCTTGGCTACACTTTTGAATCATCTGAGACCTTTAAAGAATCTAGGACCCAGAGCACTTAAATTAGAATCCCTGAAGTGGGACCCAGGCACCAGTATTTTTTAAAGCTCACAACAAGCTGGTTCCAGTTCCAGGATAAAAAGCAGGAAGATTGAAATGATCCCTTGTACTTTCTATTAGAGTGGTCATGCTTTATCTCTGCTGGGAGCTAGTTACTGCTCAGCGTGCCACACCACAAGTGCTACAGACTTCTTTTTTTTTTCTAGTATTTGGGGCTGTTATTTTTGCTGCACCAGGGAAGAGTGAGTTATATAGGTGCCACTCCAAAGGGTTCTGTGAATTGAAAACAACCAAGAACCACTGTGACAGATAGACACTGTCCTTGTATGGCATGGGTGCATCCTTGGGGAAAAGCAGAATATGAGAGCAGGTCATCACCATTAAATATTTATTGAGTGCTTACTATATGCAAGGCACTGGGGATACAAAGAGGTATAAGTCATGGCTCTGCCCTTAAGGAGCTCACAATCTAGATGGAGAAACAAGACATATATACATACAAAGATCAGTAACAACACAGGTGGCCCGAACATTTGCCAAGTGAACAGTACAGATAATATATAAGAGAGAAGTGGGGGCTCACTAAAGACTATGGTAGGTGGGGAAGGGAACGCTTCACTGAGAGAGTGGGATTTGAACTGGTAAAAGAGAAGAGTATCCCAGTCAGAGGGAACAACACTCATAGCTCAGAGGCAGGAACATACTCCATGGGTTTAAGAAATGATGACTAGTTTTATGTGGCTAGAGTGGAGGCTCTGTGTAGGGGTGACTAAGAGAATAATAGCATCTTTGCCAGGATGGGATGAGTCTCTTTTACATGTTGCATTTGAGGTGCTGGCAGGCCTTGCAAGTGGCAGTGTCTATACTGAAGTTAGATGTGGGAGGTAAGCTATTAGACTATTTTCCCAGATCTTTTTTCCAGATGTATCTTCCTTTTTTTCCTAATGCCAACTCTGTTTCCTGGGTAGGTATTTCACTGTCTGAATGAAATCTTAGATCTCTGTCACAGTTTTTGTTTGCTGGTCAGTCAGAACCTGGGCCCACTGGATGAGCGTGGAGCCACCCAACTGAGCATTCTTGTGAAGGTGAGTTTGCCTGGCCATTGGACGTATGCAGCCCTGTCCACAGGACAGAGGTGGTTTTGCCAATGGAGAATTCATGATCTTTCCTCTGAGTCAGTAAAGCATTTCCTCATACATAAACACACAAATAACAAGATACAAAGATTAAAACGTTGGTATCAGTTGATTTTGAAGCAGATAATGTGCTGCCTCAGTGTTCAAAAATAGTTCAGCCATGAATAGTTTATTCAGCCCACCAACTATGCATTGGTTTTGTTCTCATTTTCTCACATACTACCTCCTTATTTCCTTGAACTAACCCTCTATCTCACTGAGATTATAATTATCTGCCTGTAACAAAAACAGGCTCTCCCCAACCCTAGTACACAACAGAATATATTAATTTGAAACTAGCTACTAAATTCCTACTCAGAGAGTACTTTCATGGGAAAGCATGCATTTTATGGACTTGGTACTAAGAAGTCAAGTCATTTTAGGAACTAACAGAATTAAGAAAGTGGGAGGTAGAATTTTTGGTAATAGAATTTTGAGCAAGGCTTTTTTCCAAGGAACCCCTCTCCACCAATGGAGAGATGGTGAGTTTAAGAGGAATGACAGCTTGAGTCCTTCTCTCTGCAGGGTTTTAGCCGCCAGTCTTCACTCCTATTCAAGATTCTCTCCAGTGTTCGGAATCATCAGATCAACTCAGATTTGGCTCAACTACTGTTACGACTAGATTATAACAAATACTACACCCAGGCTGGTGGAACTCTGGGCAGGTAGGAACAACCCTTGGGCAACTTGGTAGACTTTTTTTTGTGGCTTTTTAATGAGTTGTAGAATTCCATAGCTGGAAGGAGTCTTTAGCTATCACCTAGTCCAAATACCCTCATTTTATAAACAAGGCTCAGAGATACAGGGGTGTGTCTGTCCACCTTTAATAATTTTAATGAAGATTATTTTCCAGTAAAAATCATCGTCATAGTAAAATACCAAAACACCTGACAGTGAGATGGGTTTTACATCCTTTGCTAGGTTATATTGCCATGCTTGGCAGTGTGACTGCCACTTCCAGTTGTCATGAACTAGCTGTGCAGCCTTAGGCACCTTGCCTTGATGGCCTCCAGCCTCTGCATCTGTGAAAGGAGGGGACCAGACCACCCCTTTTAACTCTAAACTTTTTTTTTAATCTAATAGTAAGATTCAGTGGTAGTTGGGTTCTCAGAGATATGTATCATTCCAATTCCAGAAAAGCACTTTATTGTTGTCTCTTCTCTCTCTAAAATGTCCTCAAGCTCACTTTTTCTACACAATTTTAGCATAAGAGTCAAAGAAACTTTGAGTTTTAAGATGACATTATGTAGATCACAGATTGCCTTCTTTGAAGAAAATCTTGGGAAAGCATGATATTTAATGAGACTTTTTTTTCTTTTGTAGTTTCGGGATGTGAAATTTCTGGTTCATAAACTGAAGTAACAGTCAATCCCATGATGTTCCCAAGTCTGTAACAGAAGATTCAAAACATACATCCTATTCTCTAGCTACTCATCGAATGTCTAGCCTAGTGAGTGGGCTCTACCTTTTCTCCTAGAAGCTATTATTGAACATACAGGGGTACAAATCATTCCCATGTGGAAGGAGTCTGCCTCACCTTTGAGAGGTTCTTAACTCACCCACCAAGGAGAAATTTTGGCATCACCTGTCCCTCTGCTGACCATGCAAGGGCTCTGACCCTTTACATTGAAAACATTTGCTGGATATGTTCATCTAGGTACTATTCAAGCTGTGGGAAGTACAGCAGTAAACAATATAGATCAGAAAGTTAAATATTCTGTGGTTCATAAATGAAAAAGAAATTATTTTTATTAATAGGTCAACTGCTGGATGTTACCACTAAGGAAGGCAGCCACAGGTAAGATAGGCCTTTCCTTTCCCCACACCAAGTAATTTATATCTACACAGAGTATTTTTCTCCTTCAGAAATTTTAGACTGAAAACCTCCCACCCTTAAGGATCTTTAAAACTACGAATCTGAAGAATTTTGTCAGTAACTTCCAATTATTTCAGACTGGTAAAAGGGCAACTGTAGCTAATGACAATGTATTTAAAGTACTTTCCCCCCCCAATTAAAAAGGTCCAGAGTATTTTTCTCCTTCAGAAATTTTAGACTGAAAACCTCCCACTCTTAAGGATCTTTAAAACTACGAATCTGAAGAATTTTGTCAGTAACTTCCAATTATTTCAGACTGGTAAAAGGGCAACTGTAGCTAATGACAATGTATTTAAAGTACTTTTCCCCCCCCCCAATTAAAAAGGTCCTTAAGAAAAAATTGAGGTCAGATTGCTAGATTTTAAATACTGAAAAGTGCAGGCGCAATTATCCCATCTTAGATGAACCACAGGACTTGAGTTTCTCCTAATATGGCCCAACCATCTCTGGTAATCATTATGTTTATATCAGCATAAACCAGAATAAATATTCATTGAATAACCCCCTACAAACTGAAAAAGAATGCAGCTTTCTGGCCTCATTTTGTAGTCACTGAACCTGGTCATCTCTACATCTTTTACCACATACTATGTCTACCTTATTGCCTGCTATTGTCAACTAAAGATGACTCCTTCCACTGCTGCAGGGGCTGGCAACTATGGCCTGCTGCCTGTTTTTATAAATACAGTTTTATAGAAATACAGCCACACTTATTCATTTACGTAACGTCTATAGTTGCTTTCATGTTCTCATGGCAAATCTGAGTAGTTGTGACAGACCAAATAGCCCACAAAACCTAAAATTTTTACTACTTGGAGTTTTATGGAAAAAAATTGTTGACTCTGCTTTAGAGAATGAGAGGACATTAACAAAGATGATGCTAGGGTGGGGAAGGAATAGCTTCTAGCAATTGTAATGACAATAATAATATTGGACCTCTGATTAGAGCTTTTAACATTTCCAAGTGTTCTCACTTGTACTTCTCATGTTTATTTTTCAAAAAGTCATCCCATCAAGCTCATGGTCACTGCTCATTCATAGCAAATGGTTCCTTTTCCCTTTTAGCTCTAAGAGTGGAGGAGTACCCACCAGTTAGCTGTTAGTGAGCTCAGCTCTAAAGAGAAAGAGACATCTTAACCTGTCAGGAAACTTAGACATATGCCCAGTTCCACTCAATTTTTTGGCACAGCTATTTAATCTGGGCCCTCACCTACTTTAAAATCGAGTTTTTGGATGTGTAGCATTTTAGACAGCCAGGGGATAACCTTTTGACGATAATGTCACAGAAAAAAAGTTTACTCTTCTTTTCCTTGGCTAGCTGTCCTAAAGTGAACAAGCCTATGGAAAACCTCAGAGAAGGTATGCATTTGTCTTATTTGTTCTGAGATTAAGCTCAAAGAAACAGATGAAGAAATCCCAGTTACTACAACCAAAGAGATTCAACATTTATTTTATCATAAAAGTCCAGCAAATAAAACTATATACAAGATCCATGCAAGGAATCCAGTTACACACAAGACACATTTAAAACCTGATTAAAACACAATCTCCACAATAGCAGGGAATAAAACCAGTAAGACCAAGTATCTTTAGTGAGAAACATAATCATGTTTATATTTTGGATGCTGCTTGAATCCAATTCTCTCCCCAACAATGAGGCACTGGATCACCCACTCTTGTGACACCACAGGCAGCTGCAATGCTTCAGCACACTTCAGCACCGAGGCTGGGCATGAGGGGTCTGTCACCACCACGTCAAATACTCCTAAAGCAATATCTGCAAGGAGCCGGGGAAAGTGAACAAGGAAAGGACACTCAATTTAGCCCTCCATTAAAAAGACAGATGTGCCCTTCTAGCCAATACATCCCACTCTGCCCAAACTAAAACCCGATTATGTCAAACACAGTGCTACTGATCATGACCAAAAGTAAAAAGTTATAATCACTATATGTTGACCTTGTAGAAATGTTTAACAAATATATCACTGCAAACCAGCAGAAGCATGAATAACCCAGTTCTTCACTTATGTTGACTCACCTCTTCAAGGTAGTACTTCTCTTAGAAATGGAGATAAAGTCCATCTGTCAGGACTGAGACCACAAGGCTTAACAGCTATGGACCTAAGGATGTTCTTGGAACAATAACAACACACACACTTTCCAGGTACCTTTGTTATGGGCACTTGAATGGTGCTGCTTCACGGAGGCTGCCCCCCCAGTCATGAGGATCTCAGACCAGAGCTCCAGGAAGTTCTGCTGCTGGTCTGATACCAAGAGTACCTTCAGATTCTGGAAAGGGTTTTCACGAGGTTGCCTATGAAGGAGTCAGAGACACAGCCCTTTGGAATTGGAAGGGACCTTAGCATGACAAATATCCAACAAATAGCCCTTCTGCAATGGGACTCATGTACATCTGAATGCTTTCAAAACTTAAGCCCTGTATTAGGGTACCATAAACCTTCCCTCTTTCTGTGAATGATATACATTCTCTGATATGTGGCCTTCTGATCCTACCCTTCTGATTTCTATGTTTGTCCTGGGGCTGGGAACAGTCCAAATCATATTCCTGAGCCTATACATTTTAATACTTGCTTAAAACATTTCACTAACCTTACAGGTTGAGAATATTGAACATACCTACAAATCCTCACACATTTTCAAAAGATTCCTAGCCAATATATCCTATGGAAATAACCTAGATGGACTACTGAAATCATTTCAAACCCACTCAAATACTGCAATTTATCCTACAGACATTCCAGGTTCTAAAAACATTTCATTCTTTCACCTAGATTCTCCTCCCTAAAAAAGCTTGCTGTCTTCTTATCTGTACAACTCTAAATGGGCTCTCAAATACTCACCAATCCAGAATTCTTTGCTCCTCGAGGCTGTACCCAGCTGGCAACAGATAATTACGGTAGTTCTGGAGCTGGTTGGCATGGCAACTGTCATGGACCCAGACATGAGACACACAAGGAATCCCACTGGCAAGGCACAAGAAGTACTTCCGGGTTCGACAATGCTGATCCGCGATTAGGAGACACTGGTAGGCTGTGTTACACTGGAAGAAAAAGAACAGAGCCAACGGGTCTGTGACTTCTATGGAAAGCTCTTCAAAAGCAGCCCTAAATGAGCCATGGAGAGCAAGATCTGAAGACTTCCAAATACTATCCAAAATGTGATTTAGTCTTTTTCTGCCCAGGGCCACTTTTCTCACTGAAAAGCCCAATTGCCTTCCCTAGACATTCTCCCTGTCTCACCTGCAGCTTTTTGAAGGCCTAAATCCTCAAAGGATAACCAAAATCCATGGACTCAGCCTTTCAGGCTGAGAATCATCAACACTAATAGGGATTTCTACTAAACAAAAATTTCAATCTGTTTCTGTCCCAGCAACAGAACAACAGCCATTAGCCCAAGGTTCTAACGTCTTTTCTTTGTAAACAATAAAAATTCTATTTCATGCAACAATACTTTTGGCAGTTTCCCAGTTCTCGAAATCTCTGGCTAGTTTATCTGACCTCCCCATCCCTTCTCAGGCTTCTTCTCAGTACAGCAAATAGGTTCTTATTGCCACTGTGGGAAGCTACACAAAAGAAACTCCTCACCTGGGCTTCATTGAAATCCTCGAGGATATAGCCAGCTCCTGCTCGAAGCTGGGATTCTGTGTACTGCTTGTTGAAAGGAGGAATTTCTAAAAATTCTATATATATAAAAAAAAAATAATAACCAAGATAATCAATAATTACCAAGTTGGTTTTCTTATTTGCTACTTTATGCCTGCTTCTTAACTGCCCCTTTTTCCACTCCCCAGCTATCTCCACACCAGTGTGTCCCCAAAGACAGGTCAAGGGCTTCCCCATGGTTCAGAAAGAGATCTGTCCTGAGCCTACAAAATGCTGCCAAAAGAAGGGACAAGAGCAGGAGGGACTGGGAAGATGAGGAATGAAGGTAGGTCCTAGAACTAAAAACATCAAAGGTTCCTGCACTAAGACTAAGTCATGGAACTGTTCATAGGGATGGACACATAACCATTTCCCAAAGTGACTTATTTCAATTCGAATAACCATTACCATCCAGAAGTTCTCCTTATGTCTACTCTAAATCTTTCCTTCTGCAAACTAAACCCACTTTTTCTAGTTCTGCTTTCTGTGGAGATGAAGAATAGCTGATGAGCATTTTTTTATTATAATGCTTCAAATTCTCACTTCATCAGCCTGCAAACTAAACCCACTTTTTCTAGTTCTGCTTTCTGTGGAGATGAAGAATAGCTGATGAGCACTTTTTTATTATAATGCTTCAAATTCTCACTTCATCAGCCTTTTTTTGTATACTAAAACTTGATAACCCAGAATACTCAAAGGAAGTATGCTTTTTAAAATTTAAGTAAAGGTTAGTCAGAAAATCCTATTTCAACCTTTTTATTGAAAACTATCTACCTTTGATGATCTTGAAGTACCTCAGGACACTGAACATCAATGACTGCTCTACAGTCTTGAGGGTCAAGTAGAAGATATGAGAGATGAGGCTGAAGCTGTAATGACCCTAGGCAATTAGAAATTGCTTCTTTTGACCAAATATCTAATTTGAGCTTGTTTTCTTGTCATCTGCTTCTCTCATATATAAATAACACATCCAAAAAAAGAAAAGAAAAGCAAGACATTAGAGATTTTAGTTAATTAGGAGTTCTGGGAAATTAAGTTCTAATAAACTGAAATTTTATCACAAATAAAAAACCCAACCCAATGCATAAATTTCAGTGCCAGGATCATTCCCCTTACCCCCTCATAGCCAGTGGTAAAATGTGGTAGAGCAGACTCCTTGCAGAGATGGCTCCCCCTGTGGTGACCTCCCTGCCTGCCAGAGCTGCTTAGGCAATGTTGATGCCCTATCCCAGGTCTCTACATCTTTGTTTAGGTCTGATTGGCCAGCCTATTCACTTTTACTGTTCTTTTCTTGACTCAACATCTTCCACGTTTCTCAAAATAAAAGCCCAAACTAGAAACTCTAAATGGTTATAAGAACTCAGAATACAGCAGGACTGTTTCTCAGCTTTGTCATAGCATCCTTTTGATATCAATAGATCATGTCACAATCTTCAGCACTAAAACTCTACTGCACAGTCACTGCTGACACCCCTCACAGTCCTTTTATTTTCCTGAAAACTTCTATTTTCTGTCTGCTTAATCTGGTACTGTTTCCAGTCCTGATTTTTTATTTACTTATTTTTTTAATTTTAATTTATCAATATACAATATAGTTGATTTTCCTGTCCCTTTACCAATTTCCAGTCCTGATTTTAATCCCCAATTATATTTCCTTTCATTTGTATAATCAAGTATTATCCTGTCTAAGCAATCTTTTTTTCTACTTTTTCTCAAATAATTTGGATTCAGTTTTCTTTACTATTGAGATATGACTGCCTTACTTAACCAGAGGCTAAAATGAACAGGTTATTAACTCTACCTCTAAATCAAGGATTGATGTACTAAATGAATTCCAACTCCAGAGTCAATCCTTGTGTCTGATGGATTCCTGATGGTGTGCCACCTAACAAGACTGGGTGCCATATTCTTAACTCATTAATAAATATGTCTCATAAGATGGATTTAAATATTTTACTGAGCTCCTATTATAAACTGGCATCTAAGAATTCCCATTTATCTGTAACTCGTATCACATAGTTGAAAACAGTAATTCTGCAGAAGATTGTTTTAATATAAA